CAAGTAGTCGATGAATTTTTGCTGCCTCTATCTGATAATCAATTTGATTTGCTTACTGGATAGTCAACTATAGTCCTTAACAGCCGCATGGTGAGCTGCATGGTGAACTCGGTATGCCTTTTTATTGCCCACCCAGGGGTTAAATCTCCATTGTGTTCTTAAAGAATGACCAAGCAGCTACACTTTCATGCCCTTAATTTGCTCTTTGAAAATATTTATATTATACAGAAAACAGCATAAAAATATAATCTTTAGGGACAGAAGTTTTCCATACCTAGTATCTGTCTAGAACTGAGGTTTGCGAAATCTCAACATAATTGGTTCAGACATTGAAAAGAGTGAAAATACTGTACATTTCCCATTGTAGAAAAAAATTACAACTTTTTCTGCATCTGCAATACCATGGGGCTAATAGCTGAAATTTGTAATAGTAATAAGTATCTTGGTTTGGTGAAGTTAGGAAATATCAAATTGATTATTTCCCAGGCAACCTTACTTTAGGGCTGCATACATGCATTATTATCATTAACTATATGATCACACATTAAATTTTTCAGATGATCCGTGGACTTTCCGTGCACAGATTGGATGACCAAGAGACCAAATTAAGATTGTATGGTCTACCACAAACATGGTGTTTCCTAACTTTTGCATACTTGACTTTGCAATCTAAATAACATTCTCCTGCATGGTTTTGCACGTAGTTATTAAAATACACTCAGAAGAGAGGATTATCATATACAAGGGTAGACGGAGCTTTTGCTCGCTAGTTTCTGTTGTAATCCTCATGGCCCCTTAGCTTTGGTGCCTAGGAAGAGCCCTACGATGTACTTGCGACTCAAGAGTGGCAATTGCTTTTCTACTAGTTCTGGCAGGCCGGGGGAACAATCTGTGACAGCCTCATACCAGGTGCAGATTTTCCTCCTGTCTCACATTGGCTAATTTTATCAGCCAGTGCATGATTGGGGAGAGTAGAGTCAAGGCTCTGTTTCTCCCAGCCACATGTGGCCTGGGAAAGTAGCAGTTGTGAAGAGCGAAGGTCCAGGACACTTCACAAGAGGCCCCTCTGCGGTCATACAAAGCTAAATCAATAAAATCTGCTGGAACATACAAATATTATGATGTAAGTATAAGAAAATTAATATTACAAACTACTGAACAAATGTACTGAAAGTTTACAGGTTGTATACCTCCCTAAACTGTGAGGTGGCTATCTGGGCCCTGGTTCACAAATTGTGGCTGCATTCTAGGAGGGGGCATGATGCACCCTTAGCACTGTAAAGAATCCACCGTGTGCAAGAGCCCAGTGTAATTCAGTAGTTGCAATAACGTCTTTGTGGGCGGAACCAATCAACCACTCATTCTTGAACTCAGAGAAATGTTAAAAACAAAAAAATCACATCACCTGTGGGCACTTTTCACGTAATAATCATTCCATTTTTGACATCTCAGTCCTCATCCTCAAAAGAAATCTGTACAACACTTTCAAAAGATGAACCTGAGAGCTTAAATGTACAACTTTTATAGACATTAAAAATCATAGTTTTAGGACACTGAATTTATGGCATATTAAAATAATCTGTAATCCACTAACCACCTTTTTTGTTTTATGACTGCGGAGATGTTAACAGGTCACTTTACCTTGACTGGTTCTTACAGTGCATTAACTACTTATATTAAACAATCGGTTCCAACTTGTATTTAGTGAGTACTTTCCCCAAACCTGAAGAGCTCTATGTCACTCTAAAGTTTATCTCTCTCAGCAACAGAAGTTGGTCTGATAAAAGATTTTGGATCAACTGAGAGCATGGGGTTGCATTCCTGACCATATTTGCTAACAGCCATTGATCTGTGAACATACCTAGTTGTTTTTTGAACCCAGTGATACTTTTGGCCCTCACAACATCCCTTGACAAGGAGTTCCACAGGTTGACCATGCAAATTGTGTGATAGTACTTCCTTTTGTTTGTTTTAATGACGGCATCTTGTTCTAGTCCATTATCTTGGCTCTGACAGTGATGTGCACCGGATGCTCCAGAGAAAGGTGCAAGAAACCAACAAATGGTTATAGAATAATCTGCTCATTCCCTTAGCTGTCTTTTTCCAAGATGAAACATCCCAGTCTTATTACTCTCTCCTCATATGTCAGCCATTCCATACCCCTAATCATTTATTACTACAGTGTCATTTTGTCAATTCATAGCTTTTCTTTTAAAAAGTTTTTTAAATATTTGATACCTATTTATTTAACACGCACAATCAGTCAGAAAACCATCACCTCTTTTTGTAGAAACACTGATGAATATATAGTACAATGATGGTCTAAATAAAATACTGAGAGTCAAATTTATCCCTGGTGTAATTCTAATTAATTTGTCTCTAAAGTTTATAACTGAAAGACTGGGGGAAGTTATTATAGAATGCTCCAGTCAGCATGACATATGAAGGAAGATTAAAAAGATTGGGCTTGTTTAGTCTGGAGAAGACAAGATTGAAAGGGGATATGATAATAGTTTTCAAGTACATAAATAATTTTTACAAGGAGGAGAGAAAAAAATTCTTCTCGTTAACCTCTGAGGATAGGACACGAAACAATGGGCTTAAATTGGAGTACGAGCAGTTTAGGTTGGACATTATTAAAACTTAATTGTCAGGGTAGATAAGCTGTGGAATAAATTGCCCTGGGGGCTGTGGAATTTTCATCATTGGAAAATTTTAAGAGCGGGTTAGAGAGAAACACCTGCTAGGGATGGTCAAGAACGCTAGATAATACTTAGGCTTTATCTACACTGCTAAGCTTAAAGTGCTGCCACAGCATTGCTTTAACATGGCAGGGTGATTGTGGCACCATTGCTGGGAGAGAGCTTTCTCAGCAGTCTAAGGGTGCATCTACACTGCAGGGCTTAACTCGGAATAAGTTAAGAAACTGAGCTATGTCAATTGAGTATCTTATTTCAAAATAGCTTATTTCAAAATTAGAGCACTCTTTCTCTGACTTCCCTTATTCCTTGTACAATGAGGGTTACAGGAGTCGGAGCAAGAAGTCCTCCAGCTTGACAGAATTTTGACACTATTTTGAAATAACTGCCTCCTGTGCAGACATGGACTAAGTTTTTTCAGAATAGTTCTAGTTATTTCCAAATAGTGTTGCAGTGTAGACCTACACTAAGTAAACGACTTCCACAAGAGAACAACTCACAGTGGTGGGAGCATGTTTACACTGGTGCTTTACAGCAGTGGTCACCAACCAGTAGATCAGGATCTACCAGTAGATCTTGGAGCCTCTGACAGGTAATCCTGACTGGTTTGGCTGGGAGGCTATCAAGTGGCTGCACTTCAGCTGCTCCTGCCCAGAGCCTCCTGCTTGTTGTGCAGAGTGGGGAAGACAGAGGCAGAGGGCATTGGTGTCACTCTGTCCCCTTCCCCTGCACCCCATCTTCACAGAATGAGCCCTTCTTCACAGAGTGAGGAGGGTGCGGCCTCGGCAAAGGGGTGGAGCAGGGTGGGGAGGAGAGCAGGGGTATTTGCATTTGAGGTAGATCTTAGACTGACAAATTCAAAAAATGATCTTGTGATTAAAAAGGTTGGAGACCACTGCTTTACAGTGCTGTAACTTTCTGCACTTGAGGTGAGGTGATGTTTTTTCACATCCCTGAAAGCAAGAAATTTACAGCACAGTAAAGCTGGTAGTGAAGACAAGCCTGCAATGAGTACAGGGTATTGGATCAGAGGACCTCAAAATCCCTTCCCATACTACAGCTTTTGTTTATAAGCAAGCATAAAGATTCACTTCAACATCCTCAGAATGAGCACAAATCACAGACTAACTTAAAACCCGATATTTTCAACATAAGTTTTCCCAAATTAAAATAATATCCAAACCCAAAACTTCTAAACTGCTAGTGGGGTAAGGAGTGAAGAATAGATCTGCTTGTTTACTTTGAATCTCTATAAGATACTCTGATATTTAGACTAGGACACATCATTTGAAGAAGTGGGCTGTGCCCACCAAAGCTCATGATACTATCTACATGTTTTGTTAGTCTTTGAAGTGCTACCAGACTATTTGTTGGTTTTTTTTAGTTTATCCTGTAAAAACTAACTCAGCAACTCCCTGAAGCTATCATTTTATATGTTCACTGTCCAGCACAATGAGCCTGATCTTGCCTGATACATTATTATGAATTAATAATTATAATAATAAATACGCTGCAATGACTGGGTAGAAGAGAGATTATTTAATGCGCTCTAGTAGTTATATTGTAGCTTTATTCAAAAGTCAATCACACCCACAGTTACAAACCTTTCACTAACTGCTCTGGGGCAGATGAGGGAAAAAGAAAGGGGAAGGAGAGCTTTCAGCCTAGGCCACTGGGCTCTGGCACAGGGATTCTTTATAATGCCAAGGGTGCACCATGTCCCTTCCTAGAAGGCAGCCACAATTTGTGAACCAGGGCTCAGATCCACACGTGGGAATTTGCAGGAAACTTCCACTGGCCAAGGCTGGAGCCAGTTTTTCTTTGTGCCATTTCTTCTGAAGGAAGCCCAGATTCAGCAAAGCACTTCAGGGGTTGCTTAATTTTAAGCAGGTGAGTAAATCCATCCCTAGTAGGTCAATCCGATTATTAAAATTAAACACTCATTCTTCCCCCCCCCCCTTTCATCCCCAGCTAAAATTCTCCCACATGGGGGGCCAGCGGGACCATTTATTTAGCATGCTTTTTGCTACCCCTCTACTAGGGGGTGAACTAAATCACCTCCCCTTTCTTGGCTGTTTTATATTAGATGATGGGTGACATCTATCCCTTTGAGACAGCAGGCGCCACTGCACTTGGCACCCTTATCTTAAAAAAAGGCGACTGGACACAGTGCGGTCTGGAGGGGGGTAACGCTGTTGAAGAATCGTTTGTGGAACAACTCCTGCCAGCGCCACCTGTCTGAGCTGGGCTGTCCCTACGTCCCCGCCTCTGGCCAGTCAGCCCGGGCGCCGGCCGCTTTACCTTGTACACGTTGATGGGGATGTCGATGGTGATGTGCAGCAGGTCCCCCAGGGCCAGGCTGGCGATCAGGATGTTGGGCCCGTTCCTCATGCACTTGTTCTTGTAGATGATGCGCAGCAGGGTGGAGTTGCCGATGATGCCCAGCACGAACACCAGGCAGGACACCAGCGTGTTGATGTACTTGAAAGTGTCCTTCAGCCCTGC